AGGAGATTAGATATGACAGTAGTTCAACACTTTTTCTTTGTTTCAACCGTAATTTTTTTTATGATTTACTTAGTTTGGAAGAAATCTGTCTCTATTCTAACGCACCTTCGGATTTCAGCGTCATATTTTTTCATAATCTATACGCGTGATGAATCATATGGCCAAGTATGTAGAGATCATTTTGATCGAAAAAAAAATGAATGCAACGCGGACTCAAGCATATATATATATATATATATATATATATATATATATATATATATATATATATACCCCTGAAAAAATTATTTCAGTTAAGCTCTCTGGGGAAGAAATGTGAGTATGTAAACAGTGACTAGTGCAGTTAAAAATGAACTACTCTTCAGTAACGCCAATCGAGTTCTCTCAGTCACTGTGTGTTTATCTAAAAACAAATACACTTAAATTCACCTTCGTCCCTGCCATGCGCCAACGGCTTAGGGGTAGAATCTCTGACTGGCGCCAATTAAGCCGGGTTTCCATCCTAGCTAGAGGCAACCGGGCCTCCAGCCACACTGATGATCTGTGATATAGCGAAGCAGTCTGTCTGTGGATGACTATATATATATATATATATATGTATATAAATAAAAAGAAAGAACAGTAAGATATAAAATCCGGTGTTCTTATAGATATTTTTATTTTTACAAAATAGTGCTCAATGTAAATTTACAGAGCATTAATATTATAAATTAATTGATTTAAAATATGGTTTTTATTCACTACACAGTTCCAACCATGTTTCAAAAATAGAAGCTAAAAACCCCGAATTTAATCTTGCAATTACGCTTGAAGATGAAATGGAACTAATGCTTTTAATTTAATTGCAAAATTAAATTCGGGGTTTTTAGCTTCTATTTTTGAAACATGGTTGGAACTGTGTAGCGAATAAAAACCATATTTTAAATCAATTAATTTATAATATATATATATATATATATATATATATATATATATATATGTGTGTGTGTGTGTGTGTGTGTGTGTGTGTATGTGTACGAGCGTTTACTAGCAAGACCTGTGTAAATTACATGGCTTTCCTAATATACTTTTTAATACTGCACTCTGTACTTCTTCAACCCTTGAACATTCACAGATAGTCACACGGAAAGCACTTCAACAGATCGTTAGCCTGTGAAACATGATTTAACCTATCATTACCAATAAATGACATTATAAAAGATGTTCTAATAACTTTAAATGAAATTTGTAATAAAATGAAACTTGTTTCTAACTGAGCCAAATAACACACATGAGTGAAGAAATCTCAAATTGTTTTTTTCTTTCTTAACCAGTTGAATATAAAGGGTGTTCCAATAAATTGGACCAAATTTAATGTGCATTAAGTTTAAGCCTCTTTTTTTCTTTTCCTTTCATATTTGGCGGATATTTGGGCGATATTATTTTTCACACATAATTGCCATGACTTAAATAACATGATCCAATAAAGAAATAAATAAACTTTCACCAATAATACTGATTTATTTACTGCTGACTTTGATCCGTCTTAATGAAACACCCTTATATATAATCCGTCTTAATGAAACACTCTAAAAAGATGACACCCCTCCAACCCCTCTGTGTTACTCTCTCTTTTTGTCTCTCTACGTCCCTCCCACTTTCAGATTTACTCTCAATGTCCCTCTTTTTTCTGTTTTCTTCTCAGTATCTATGATGCCAAGTATGACACACACAAGACATGAATACAATTGTATTAATTTACAGATTTTTATCTGTTTTAATCTATTTTTAATTTCTTTATCTAATTTTATCAATTTATTTTTAATAATTTTAATCGTTTTTTTTTTTTTTTTATCGTCTAGCATACAGAAACAAATTCAAACACTATCTCAATCCCAAAAATGCTGTACTTATCAAAAGAGAAAATAACTTACTTAGACGAAAAGTTCTTGAAAGCGCTATTATCATTTCTTGTCAAAATTGTAACTTACACACCGGGGTTTTTCAAATATAACGTTTCTTTAAAGAATTCCTCCTTTCTCAAGCCAACATACATATGCAAATAATATTTTCACATTTACCTTGATAAAAGGACAAAATGTGGTGTATAAAAACGTTTTCCTCATGTTTTTTTTTAATCACACGTACACACAAAATATATATATATATATATATATATATATATATATATATATATAATGAAAATGCTTAAACACTAATATTCCATGGTCATAATTTATTTCATTGGAATATATATATATATATATATATATATATATATTTATATATATATAGGTGACCCCAAAAACAGGAATTTTTTGAAGTGCGTATTGCCAGACATTAGCAAGTGGCAAGACTGCGAGACAGTGACCTTGAGCAAGTAAACATTTCGCCATTTAGAATTCAAGATGAAATTCACAGTATCCCAGCTGAGATGTTGCAGCAGTCAATGAGGAATCTCAACAGCAGATTTCAAGAATGCATTCATACAGGAGGACGCCATCTACAGGATGTAATTTTAAAAATGAAAATTCTATCATTGTTTCTTAAATGGCATATTTTAAAGTTTCAATTACTATGAATAAAATATTTTTCTTCCATCACTCTTTTTTTGGTTTTATTGGATTGTTAAAACGTTTCTGTTTTTTTTTTGGTCACCCTGTATATATATATATATATATATATATATATATATATATATATATATATATATATATATATATATATATATATATATATATATATATATACGTGCGTGGGTAGTTAGGATCACTACAAATCACATGGCCCACAGGCTTTTTCGTCCGCGGTGGATTAAATCTATTTAGAATATAATTCGTGTCTTCTCCACTTAAGATTTTTCATCCATCAAGGTACTGAATAAATGAATATTTATTATTTAAATTTCCGTATATACTGGCATTATACGCTGGGGATTTAGTTCGGTGAAGGAGTGAACTATTTCGAAACTTTGGAATTCTCCTCGTTTTCCAGACACTTTTTAATTAGACGCAAACGCCAGAATCGCACGCAGGGAATTAAAATCTTTCGGGATCATGGCGTTCAGAGTGTGCAGCAAAAATAGCATACGGAAATATTTGCAAAGACGTTATGTGATTACCAGTTGAAGCTAATTCTCGCTTTTTTTTTTTTTTTTGCAGCATTTCAAACGTTATGTGCAGTTTTTGAAACAAAAGTTTCTTTGTTCGCAATTTGCTCTTGTGAATCCCCATGGACACGCCATTTTTTTTTGTGGCGGGTGGGAGGCTTTAACTCTGTGATGTTTATTATCTAAAATCGATATTTTAATGGTTGGTCGTAACAGCATTAAATACACGATTTACAAACAAGAATTTTTTTTCTCGCTTTTTATCTTTCTGTGAGACAACAGAGACTGATCTTCGGAAAGCCACACTTTTTACACAAATTTAAAGTGGAAGCCAAAAGGAAAATGTACGACAAAATTTCCAGGGCACATTGGTATAGCGAAAGATGCCTTCCAAACGCCAAGCGAAAGATTAAGAAACAGGAAAATTTCGTTAGTAAACAAAGAAAAGATTACTGAACTGATATGGAATATTAATCATCTTGTATGGTAGCGAACGTTGATCAATTTCCTCACAGATATGTTGGAAACTTGAGTCGTGATGTATGACTCCACAAAAGGACGCTGAGAATATCACAGACGGAACATGCGAACAAAGAGAAAACAAAATCGAAAACATTTCCATGAAATCCAACCAATTTTACAATCCAACTACTCCTTGTTCTTATGAATAGAAGTAGAATTTTATCCCTTGTTTCCGATTCCTTCTAAAGTCTACTTCAACTCTATACTTCTAACGTCATCACCTTATCTCTTAAATTTATACTATTATTAAGTTTCCTTTTTCCTTCTAAAGTCTTTTCCAATAATTCCTTGCGTCTTAGTGGCATTATTACCTTGTTTGGAGTGAATTTATTTTTAAAAAATTTATAAAAATAAATGTCCATCAAAATGCGGCCAAACTTAACAATATATCTTTTGAATGTCAAATTCTCCCTGCCCTCTTTCCTTATTTTGTGTGATGAAAATTCCAATTGTCTTTTTCTCACTCTAAGTACTCGTTTTATATTATTCTTTTATGTGTATGTCAAAACTGCCAATGCAATTATGTCACTCCCGGCATCAGCTCAAAATTGAATTATCAGAAAGATAATTAAAAAAAAACTGAATGTTTCTGCTTCAATAATAATATCATTCAGCTAAAAAAATTGGCAAAATAAGCTTAGCTTTATTTCAACCGGATTTTCTTTGCCCTCCTTGTCCGAAGCTGATTCAAGGTTGCCTATTTTTGCAATGACAATAATCTAAAGAACTTACTTTTGTTTAAATACCCTTGTTGGCAGCTAGAATTTACACTTTCGTTCGAATAGCAATGATTGATATTGCCATCAAACATATTAGGTTGCTCATTAAGTTGCGTTTAAAGAATCATTTTATTCCGTTTTACATGCATTTTGAAGCTTCTCCAGATTCTAATTAATTTTGCTTGTAATTCATGTTTGATTCCGTCGCAGAAATTTCATTTGTTTCTCTTCTCTTTGCTGGGCGTTCGTAAACTTGAAGCCATTTTTATTTTCTTAGGTTTTTCTTCCCTTACTTCGTTGTCTATCCTCTTTTATTATTTTCTCTTTAATTTTCCCAAATTATTATTTTTTTTACCTCCTTTCTACTCTTCTTTTTTCCTTCTTTTTTATTACCTTTCTCTTTTTTTTTATTCCATGTGCACCTAAAATAGTTTTATTTTGTCTCTCACTTATATTAACAATTGAATTAAAATTTTTCATTGCATTTTTTTTTAATCCTTACTCTTTGATAATTTTTATTCGCTTGTCAGTTCATGTTTTATGAAATTCGTAATTTTTCATTTCATTCTTAACTTCTTTCTTTTCTGGAATTTCGTCCTTTTTTTTTTCTTTATATCTTCTTAATTCCATGTTCATACCAATTATTAACTCATTCTATCTTTCTTTTTTAGAATGATTTTCTTTATTTTCCTTTTTTTTTCTCCTTAATCTTTCATTTTTTTCCTTTCTTTTATTCTATTTTTCTTTCTCTCTCTTTCTTTATTTCTCAATTGTTTAACGCTTTTTCTCTTCTCTTTGTTTCTTTGCATGTTTCTTACTGTTGTTAACAAGTAATTGGTTAAGAAATAGCAAAACAAGAGATTGCAGATAAATCGTGTATTGCACAGTAAATACAACAGAAGTGTGTTACACGACTTGGAAGTGTGTGTCGGTTGACCAGCGTTCGGTCTATATCACTGTTTTTCCCCCGAGGTCTACTTTTCCTACTAACTTTATAGTAAGTGGAAGAGTCCACAATAGCTTCATTAGAGGGAGGACACCACAACACTTACTCTCGTAGAATTTCTCTATTCCAGTCTTCTTTTTTTTTTTATAAATTCATTCAATACTTCAGAAGTAATGGTTTATCCCTTGTTTCCTGTTTAGGATTAAGTTGTTTTTTTTTTTTTTGGTTTCCTTCTAAAGTCTTTTCATTTCTTTTCCTTCTTTATTTCTTTCTTGAGTTATCTGTCTTCCGTTTGTTTTCATTTCTTCTGATAATTTTAACTTCTTCCTCTTTACTCTTTCTTTTTTCTTGCATTCTTTTTCTTTCTTTCTTTCTTTATTTCTTTTTTCTTTCTACACTTTCCTTCATTCGTTCTTCTCTGTCCTTCTTTCTTTCTTCGCTTTTTTTCTTTCTTTCCTTCTGTGGTGGGTAGTGTCTCTTCCCTTTTTCTTAATTTCTTCTGAATTAATTCTAACTTCCTTCTCTGCTCATTCTTTTTCTTTTCTTTCTTTTCTTTTCATTCTTTTCTCTGTCCTTCTTTCTTTCTTCGCTTTTTTTCTTTCTTTCCTTCTGTTGGTAGTGTCTCTTCCCTTTTCTTAATTTCTTCTGAATTAATTTAACTTCCTTCTGCTCATTCTTTCTTTCTTTCTTTCTTTCTTTCTTTCTTTCTTTCTACACTTTCCTTCATTCGTTATTCTCTGTCCTTCTTTCTTTCTTCGCTTTTCTTTTTTCTTTCCTTCTGTGGGGGGTAGTGTCTCTTCCCTTTTCCTTAATTTATTCTGAATGAATTCTAACTTCCTTCTCTCTACCCATTCTTTCGTTCTTCCTTTCTTTAGATTATCTTCCTTTCCATTGTCTTTATTTCTTCTCAGTTCTTTCTTTCCTCTTTTTAGTCATTGTTTAATTTTTTCTTTCTTTTTAACTGTGATCCTCAAAAATGTTCAATCGAACAATTTCTTTCTTGACATTACTGTCATTTACACGCTTTTCCCCATTAAAACATCTCTCGCATTTCTAACTAGCATCCCTTCATTATCAACATTTATTTTCGTTTTTTAACCAGCTTTTTTTTTTTTTTGCTTTCACAAATAATTACGAACTCAAAAAAATATTTCACTTCACATGTGGCCAAATTGAATGGTCGAAGTTATTTATCAACTCCCTTCATTACGGCTTAGAAAGGAACGCGAATACGTACAACAGTACACACATGCTTCCCATTTCACACTAAATCGCATACACCTCCAGACACAAAGACGCACACACACACAAAGACACACACACAGACACACACCCATATATCATTGAAACCTAACCTAAACAAAATCAACTATGAAATCTCCACAAATATCCTTAAATGTCTATAATTGGTAACAGAAGCCACTGGTTTATACCGACGGCTTCCCATACTTAATACTACTCGAATTCACTCTCGCGTGGTCAGGTGTGACGTCATGAGCTGCGGTGCGATTTTCGCTTCCAGCGTCTTATATGCACGTGTTTATCGTTGCTTGGAAATCATCCATGTAAACAATAACAGACTATCATCACTATCTTGTCCGTATATTGCTTAATAAATCGTACAGTAATTGTCCTTTTTGATAATGGCTTATGTAAGCCGAAAGCTTAGATTGGATTAAAAAATATGGATTAATATTTTCTTTCTTTGTTTAATGATAATGTTATTAAGCTTAACAGACGTTATGAAAAGAATTTACATAAAATAAATAGACAACACTTGTCTATGTTATTTAATGAAACATGTATGAATATATATATATATATATATATATTTGTGTGCGTGTGTGTGTGTTTTTTGTGACTGTATGAAAATTCAAATCTGTATCAGTGCATGCAGTTATCGCATACATATAGAAAAGACACAAAGATACATGCACAAAGACATAGACGCGCGCACAGACACATCGTATGGATTTTCTTGTCTGAAGACGTTAAATCATAAATCAAACTGTCATCGTCCTGTGTTGACCCTAATATACACTTTTATATTTACATTGACTCTATCCCTGATATTGAGCACTTTGACCCATAAATATAACATTCCATGAAGCTATATTTTTATCACACACACACATATATATATGTGTGTGTGTATGTTTGCGTGTGTGTGTGTGCTTACGTGTGTGTAATCGATAGATGGATAGACAGATAATGAACAGACGCTAGATTGATATATAAATAGAGTGATACAGAGATAGATAGATAGATAGATAGATAGATAGATAGATAGATAGATAGAAACAAACGATAGATAGATAGATAGATAGATAGATAGATAGATGATAGATAGATCATAGGTAGATAGATAGATAGACAGATAGAAACAAACGATAGATAGATAGATAGATAGATAGATAGATAGATAGATAGATAGATAGAAACAAACGACAGATAGATAGATAGATAGATAGATAGATAGATAGATAGATAGATAGATAGATAGATAAACAAACAAACAAACAGATAGGAAAAATGGCCTGGGATATATAGCCTCTACTTATTTCAAGTAGACGCCCCTTTCCTACGTATTAAACAAAGTCTATTACATCTATCGGCCAATACATTCAGAATTTTTAGCAAAACGAATGTTTCCTCTGCCAGGGATCGAACATAATGCACACCGTTTAATAAATCAAAATAGGACGTGTATTTTACATAAGAAGTGTCCACCATAACTTTTGACCTTATATATATATATATATATATATATATATACACTATGCAGCGTTAATCTTTCATTGCAAAGGTAAATCAATACTGAAAATGAATAAAAGAAAATCAGTGTAAACCTTCTTTTCTTTTGAGGTTATCAACCTGGCAAAAAAGGAAACAAGCTGTAGGCTGACAAACATCTCTGTAGAAATACCTTTATTTTTTTTCCCCACTTCTTCTTGCATGAGATAAAAAAAAAAATCTCTCGGCACCTGTCGCCCGTGGAAAGAAAAATTGTCATTCATCGTCTTTTATCTCGGTATTTGCGAAACGCATGATCACGTGACCGATTGAAACTCTCGTGCGACGCAAAGACAAAAGATATGTTTCAAGGCGCCAAAATTCCGACTCCACATCGCGCCTGTTTTTATTGTATTCCACAGATGTCTGTGTCTTCTCTGTCAATCAGCTATTGTTGTCTTTGGCTGACTTTGTATCAGCTTAGAAGAATTCGTGTTCTCTCAATGACCCCAGTTCAAATGCACTTAGTTCTTTGTATTATTTTTTTTTTTTTGTAATTTTTAATACTTACTTGATCAAGTTCAGTACTTCACAAGACCGAACACAGGAAACAAGAAATTTCTGTCGCTCCAGACTTACAAGCTAGGAGGTGTTTCCTAACTTTGTATTACAATTATTAGTACCCGGAGACACAGTAGGTTTTCTGTAGGGCAAGTTAGCCTGGTAAACCAAATCTTTCTTTTAGACTGGTCTTGAATTCAGATTTTTCCTTTTATTAGTCTGGTTGCCATCAAAAAAAGAGCTTGGTTGGTTTTGTAAGTGTCGCTATCGAATCTTACTAAAACATAAATCTGCGACTCGATTTAAAAAAAAAAAATATCTCCTTTCCTATAAGATATACTCCGTTCCCAAGCCAACACCCATGTTTATAATAATTTTTAAAAATATTAAAAGGAGACGTTTAAATTCAAAACTTATTTAAAATATATAAATTAATTTTATCAAACTAAAATAATATAAATAATAATTACATTATTTGAAATACTTCAACAACAGCAATAACAATATTTACTCTCTTTAGACATTAAATTATATCACTTAGTATCCTCCATAATTTACCATGACTGTGAGTTAGCTTGAAGCATATTTATGGGCGTTCTCAAATTTATTTTTATAAACAGTAATTTGGACTTTGGTAACCAGACGCTTCTCTATAGCTGAGTGTTATAGCACGTCAGATCTATTGACGGTTCTGTACAGGACACAGGTTCAATTCCTTTGGAGAACGCATATTTTCTACGGAATTTCAGGAACATTCAGGCTGGTAACTGTAATTAATACTGTTTATTAAAAAAAAAAAAAAACAAAACAAAAAAACAGAGCATTTACTTAAATAAATTGTATCTATCAAAAAAAAACTTATAAACAAAAAATATATAAAATAATTGATGGACTTAATTCATTTCATCATCAGGATATATATATATATATATATATATATATATATATATATATATATATATATATATATATATATATATATATCAGAGGACATTGAGTATCCAGAGACGACAGTCTGTTTCACATTAAACGCAGTCGTCAGGCAATATGGGTTGTGTTTTTGCGTTATTTATATATGCAGATCAGTAAGGCATTGTGGCTAGTTGCATTGCATTGTGGGTAGTCTATTGCATTGCATTGTGGGTAGTCTGTTTTGAATTGTTCTCTATGATTGTTTTGGTGGGCGATAATGGTTGTGTTTGGAATTATTCTAGGGGTTATTGAGTGGGAAAAATTGACGATCCAAATGCATTTGTGCGTTATTAACGCTCTATCCCTGATATTGAGCACTTTATCCTGTAGATATAGCATACCTTAAAACTATATTTTATCATATATATATATATATATATATATATATATATATATATATATATATATATATATATATATATATATATGCATGTGTGCGTGCGTGCGTGTGTATGTAACTATGTACGTATGTATGTAATTAAACTGCAGAAATATACCGAGAAAATGATTTGACCATATCTTTGACTTTAAAGTTATCTCCACTGGTGCCAATAATACAGACATGAACCACTGAACATTCGAAAATTAGACAAGCTCTTTCCTTTCTGTCTATTTTTATTGTTATTAATTTCTTTGACTTCCATATTCGTCATTTTCCCTCGGAGCCTGACACTTTCCCGCCGTCATTGTAATCAGTTTAGAATTGCTAATCATGGCGCACCAAATACATGCAATATATGAACACGGTTTGTTATTTTCATTTCATTTCTTATTCAAACGATCTTTCATCGTTGTGTCAGTTTCATCATTGGATTTTTTGTTTACAAAGTTTATAACTGAAACTACTTGGTATTTGTTGTATGAAAATGAACTGAGTTTTATTCGCTCTCATGTGTAATGTGGTCCAGATTCTAATATATTCTTGACTTCTCAGCATTCTCTGTTCAGATTCGATATATGCCAAAGTAAAACTGATGATATAGGTGCCTGCATATATGCGTGTACGTGCGTCATTCTGTGTATCGCCTTAGGATTATATAGTTGATTAATATATAAAGAACAACGTCACATTACTATATAAAGAAGATGATTAATAACAGTCTGTATGTTATCTATCTATCTATCTCATTCTTTTCCTTATCTATCTATCTATCTATCTATCTATCTATCTATCTATCTATCTATCTCATTCATTTCCATCTATCT